AGTGAGCCAAGATTGCGCCACTGTACTCCAGCCGGGGTGACAGGGCAAGACTCTGTCTCAAAAAAGAAAAAAAAAAAAAAAAAAGAAAAGAAAAAAGAAAGAAAGAAATATTTTGTTCTGTTGGGGTGGCTGTGAGGGGATTTCTCAAGTTCTTATATCATAAATCCCAAGCAATAAGAGTAGCAGCAATGCTACTTCCGTTTGAAATGTCTCACGTATGGTGAACCCTCTTCTTGGCTGCATAATGTCCAAGCATGGTTCTTTCATCTAGAAAGCTACCTAACCCACCTAGTAGATCCCCTTCATTTGAATTAGCTAGAGTAAATTCTGTTGTCTGCAACAAAAAGCCTTGATCAAATCATATATTAAATGATCTCATATACTGAGACACTTTACTATAGTCATTCTTTTGTTTCTGTGATGCATTTTGAATGGATTCCATATCATTAAGTTCATACCAATCATACTTTGCTCTTACCACGTCCTGAGATGTTTATCTTATTTTCTCTTCTTAGGAATTTATACTTTCATTTGGACTTTAAGATAATTATATCACCTTAAGTAAACAAACAGAAAGAGAAACAGAAACAAGAAACACAAACCCCAGCTGAGTAAAAGTAAGAAACTTCCCTAAATCCAAGCTACAATATATGAAGGCAAAGACTGAAGGAAGAAATGGAAAGTGACTCAAAAGCTGAGGATAGTCAAACCAAGGCACTCACGGAGTAGCATATTCATCACCAACTTGAGGACCTTGGAAAACTAACAAATTAATGGCACTAGGTCCAGCCAAAGATTGTGGGGCAGTGCTATATAAAAGCATATAAAAGAAATAAACTCCTAAATGTCCACCCCCACCCCCCAACATCCCAACAGAGTTAGGCAACCACCCTTCTTCTTCCTCTGTAAGAATGGGAGGTATATTCTCTGACAAAAATGTCCTACAGAACCTTCTATGTCACCAGACATAGAAGCGGATAGAGATGAGGTCTAGGGCAGGAGTCAGCAATCTTTTCCTGTGACGATCCAGAGAGCAAATATTTTAGGTCTTATGAGCGATCTGGTCTCTGCTGTAACTACTCAGTTCTGAAATTGTATCACCAAAGCAGCCATAGACAACACTTAAACAAATGGGTGTTGTTGTGTATCAAAAAAACCTTTATAAAAAAGATGGTGGGCTGGATTTGGCCACTTGTTCATAATTTATAGACACCTGCTTTAGGGCGGTACCAGGAGTTTTAAGAAAAAAGTCTACATGCTGAACAGGGAAACTCTCAGCCGTCTTTCTCTGATCACTTCCTCTGTTAGGTGTATTGACCACAACCCACTTTCTACTAGCCTTCATCCTCCCCTTTCCCTTGCCAAAAAACTAAATTAGGAAATAGGAATATTATTCTCTCAGTCCCTTTTCCAATGGTTCCTCTAATTTTTCCAAACTCTTACTGAAAATTGATCTATTCAAACTTCCTACTTCTTGAGTACAATTTGGTGAATTATGTTTTGTTAAGAAATAATCCCTTTTTCTAGGATTTTAGATGTATTGCCATAGGAGTTGGATGTAGGGTTTTTACGAACATTTTAATTTTTTCTGTATCTGTGAAAATATCTCCTTTCTTATTTTCAATTTTATATATTTTTACTCTCATTCTTTCTTTTTAAGTAGTCAGACTCACAAGAAGTTGACTTATATTATTGATCTTTTCAAGGATCCAGCATTTGAATTTGTTTATTCTTCCTATGATTTGTTTCCATTTCAATAAATACTTGTTAAACAAATAAATGGCAGTCATCAGCAAATAGCTTGTTGTTACAGATCACCTGAGAGAAAATGTGTTGAGTGAGAAAGAAGGAGCCCTCTTAAGAACACCAGTATCTGAGGGTTGGGCAGAAAGAAAACAGTAACAACAAAAAAAGGAAATTGAGAAGAAACAATCTGATCTGATTAAGTTGGAGAAAAACCAAAAAAGCACAGTGTCACAGACACCAAGATAAAAGTGTTTCAATAAGGAGAACCTTGTCAACGGTGTCAAATGCTGCCCAGAGGAGATTTCTTGCCTAAGGACTTAGAAGTGTTCCTTAACATGAGCTATAAGTAGGATGACCCTTACAAGGGCAGTTTTATGGAGTGAGAGGAGTAAAAGTCAGATTTCAATGAGTAGAAGCACAAGAAAACAGTGAGAAAGTAAAGATAACAATTGCAGATAACTCTCAAAACAGATCTTTGGGGACAGTAAGACATGCAATAGAGAGAAACTTTTATGAAGATTTGAAAATCTCAAGCATGTTTAAATATGGACAGACAAAAGCCAGTCAAGGGTTGGGTGGAAGATACAGAGGATTAAATGTCACGCAGAGCACAGATGCAGGTATTAGACACACATCTGAGAAGGATGCCCCTTCCCTTATGACAACAAGGCAGGAGGATAAGATATCTGTGGGCCACCGTGGGTGAGCATGTTTTTACAGACATAGCTGGAAGTATAAAAAAACTATAGGATTTGAAATCACTACAGTAAGTTTTGGAAGAAAAAGATAACTTGGGAATGGAGAAGAATGACCTGTCAGCACTGAGAGCCTTGTTAAGCTTGAAGACCCCACAGTTATGAAAACACCAAGCCTAGGAGTGAGGGTAAACAGAGGCTGGATCCAGGCTTGCCTGTTGGCGTGACAGTCCCGGGTGATAACTAGTGATACTTGGGAGATTCTCACAGCTCCTCTGGCTCTGCCCACTCTGCACCAAAGCAGCCACAACTCAAAAGCTTTCTCTTCTACCTTTTCTACAGAAGGAAAAGAAATAAGCCTCTACTGCAATTATTGGAATAAATTCCCTTTCTGTCTCTCAGAGCCAACTTTTAAATTGTGGGCTTGAAGAGTGAAGAATACTAAGACCTCCTTCCTTGTACTGAGATGGGATTGTTGCCTTGACCCCCTTCATGGGCAGAAACTGGAGTGGCTCCTTTCGCTCAGTCGGCCTCTGGCCACTCCCCGCAAGAGGGAGCAGGCAAGCAAGCAAGTCCAGGAACTGGAGGGAATGAAGGCTGGAACCAGCCAGTCGCTCCTCTCTGGTGGGAGCAGGCTCTGTGCTGCCCTGCAGTGTCCAAGTCCCTGTCCTCCCGGCACCTGGGTTCTTGTCCAGTGTCCAGAAAAAATCAGGTCACGCAAATGGAGTGAAGGGTAGTGTATGTGGAGGATTTTATTGGGTGATGACTGTCATCAGGATGGGAGTTGGAAAGGGGATGGTGCAGAAGAAGATGATCTTTCCCTAAGCCGCACCTCTGAAGTTAGCCATATCTATCTATAGTCTCAACACTCAGCCACTTCTATCCTTGACATTCAGCAGCTTGGATCCCCGACGCCCAGCCACTTGCATCCCCAGCCGCTTGCACTGACTACTTGCATCAGCCACTGTGTTGCTCTGCCAGCTGAAGTCTTTTTATGGGCACAGGATAGGGGCATGGCAGGCCAGAAAAGCAACATTTGGGCAAAGAAATGGGGTCAGTTGTTTGCACTTAGGGTCGTGGTTCTAGGCTTAAGGATGGGGTCCAATGGGGAGCCTGGAGCCCAGCCATTCTATATCATCCCCCTCTGAAGAGGCACATCTAATTGCCGTTAGAATATGGACAACGACCGGTCTTAGCTACTTCCTGCTGAAAGGGGACATTGTTTGGGGAAAATGGCAATCAGATTCCTTCCAGAGATTTACCTAAGGATCCCTGGCAAAAGGGAGCCATGGTCCGAGGCTCTGGCTGCCTGCCTTTTGGAGCCTTGATGGCCTCCAGGCGAGAGAAAAAACAAGCTTTACGAGGTTAAGTATGCATGGGTCAAACATGTGTACTATGCAAGGAAAGAATTTAGTGCCAAAGATTACAGAAATAAGAAGTGAAATATACTAACGACATTGTACCCCAAGCTGTCTCACCCTGGTGAAAAAAATTAAGTCTTGTATGGGAGCGGTTAAACTTTGAGAGAGAGAACTGTTCTTGCCACATCTGTAGTGGTTAACAGGTGAACGTTAGGAATTCTGGGGTTCATGGGCTTGCACTGTGGTCACTAAAGCTTCTGCCTCTTTCTTAGATCTAAAAGACCAAGGTGGCCACTTTCAGGAGATCCTCTAAAGTACCATCTAGACCCAGCGTCTGTTTCTGAGTATAAACTGGAGATGATAAAGTTTGTTGGTCGCCCATTCGGAAAGGCAGGGAATTTGGGGTATTCCTCATTCCCTTCGTTCTTTCAGCAAAAACTTGGGGTGTGAGGGAGAAAGAAAGAGGGTGTTCCCCTCTTTTCTTTTCTATCTTTATCTCCGAGTCCCAGTGACCTTGGCAGGTGCCACCCATGGGTGCCAAAGCGGCTTGCACCCACGAAGCAGGGGGGCCTAGGGGGTGGGAGTACCCACTCTTATCCACATATGCCCTATCTCCCCTGCTGTCAGCAACCTTTGAGTTCCCTGAGCCTCACCTATGCCATGGAGCATGGCCTCCGTCCATGAAGCAGGGTTTTCCTTGGCAGGAATTGATCCCGCCCATTTACATTGCGCCTGTTACCTGGCTTTGGATCCCTCAGATCTCATTTTCCTTTCCAGGACCTCAACCTGAAGCTTGGAATCAAGTTTGAGATTAAAAAACGGTATTTGAAGGGCCGCAGAGATTCACTTAGATTAAGTCCCACGGGCGTTGGCAAATGTACAGCTACCAACCACCAAGGGTTGCGCCTCTGTCGTTTTCCTATCGTAAGCAGAGTGCTGAGGTGGCAAGAGAACCTTCTGCCTTAGAAAAACAGAAAAACAACTTAAAGGGCAGAAGGGCCGTGGGGTGCGGTTGAAGGAAGAGCCTCTGCTCTGTGGAAATGGGTTCCTTTCATCCCTTCCCCACTTCAGATCAGCTAGACCGCCATAAAGGGAAACAGAGCCAATATTCCTTTTACCCGGTGGAAAGAGAGAGGTGGCGGGGTCTTGAAAAAAAAAAAAAAAAAGGCAGATCCGACAGGTCCGCATGTTAACTAACCGTCTGCTGCATCCCGGACGGGCCTCCAGATGAGATGGGATTGTTCCCTCGGCCTCCTTGGTGGGCGGAAACTGGGGTGGCTCCTTTCAGTCAGGCCGCCGCTAGCCACGCCCCACGAGAGGAAGCGCGAGAGCCAGAGACTGCGGGAACTGGAGGTAACAAACGCTGAATCTGGCCAGTCGCTCCTCGCTGGCGGGAGCAGGCGCTGTGTGGCCCGCAGCAGCGTTCGAGCCTCTGCCCTCTTGGCACCTGGGTTCTTGTCCGGCGTCTAAGAAAACTTAGGTCCCATGAACGTATTGAAGGGTAGGGTAGTGTATGTGGAGGATTTTATTGGATAATGGCTCTCAGTGGGATGGGAGTGGGAAAGGCTATGGTGTGGAAAGAAGATGATCCTTCCCCGGAGCCACACCATCTGAAGTTAGCCGCTTCTATCCTGAGTCCCCAACACTCGGCCACTGGTATCCCCAATGTTCAGCAGCTTGTATCCCTAATGCTCAGCCGCTCGCATCCCCAATCATTTGCATCATCCGTTTGTGTTGCTCTGCCTGCTGAAGTCTCTTTTATGGGCACAGGATAGGGGCGTGGCAGGCCAAAAAGCAACATGTGGGTGGAAAAACAGGATCAGGTGTTTTCACTTAGGGCCGCCATTCCAGGTTTAAGGGTGGGGCTTCGCCAGGAGCCCAGCCATTCTGTATCACTACTTTGGAGTGGCAACACTGGGATAGGCAGCCTCTGATAAAACTATCCCTGACCTGAAAAAGCTAGAGATAAGAAGGACATGAAGTGAGATGGGTCTTTTGCCACATGAGCCAGGTCTTATTTTTCTTTCTCGCTGTAGAAACTGTTCATCTCGGCTTTATTTTCTGTGAGTTATTATTCAATTTTATAAAAGAAATACAAATATGTTTGTATGTTTATATGTGTGTGCATGTTTACATATATATATGTATTCTGTGCAAAGATCCTGTAGTCAAATAGTTACATGCATAGGAAAAAGACTCAATGGATATATGAAATATGATAGTAGAAAGTGAAAACTTTTCTTCTTCATACTTGAGCCGTGAACATGTACTCATTTGTAATGAGAAGAAAATCAATAAAATGTATTTTTAAAGTCAACACATTTGAACAAATATTTTTCTAGTGGCCACGTTCAAAAATAAAACCATATTCTGGTCTCATTCCTTTGCATTCAGGAAGCAGTTTTCAAATATATCTTCCATGTTCCTGATTTGATTTTCATAGAATAATTCTGCTTTGAATGAATTTTTAAATTCATTAGAGCTTGTTTACTTACCTGAAATTCTTTCCTCATCTAATTTCTTTATAATTTCTGCTTTATCTCAATCCGTTCTCTTCTCAGCTCAAATTTCTTATCATTCATCTTTCCTGTCATTTATCCATGTTTCCTTGAGCCCTGAGAGTGCAAGGCACATGCTGGTGAATAGTTTCTTCTGTTTATTGCGATAGTATTTTAAAAACAGTATTTCCTTCTATTTTTTTCTTTATGCTATAGCATTACTTCATAGGCTCCCTACTGGTTTGCATTTAATTTCCTCATCTTTAAATGATAGGAGATACATCAAGAACTATTTATTCCAAGATAAGGCATTCTGCACACTGTCTGCTTGCAAGCTGTTAAACGCAGGGTCTGGGATCTGAGCCTCCAATTTTGAACCAGTTCAATGATTCCCAGCATTCTGGGAAGAGTGGGCCAGACCAGAGGAAGTTCCCATCGGCTGGGAGGTGTTTTGGTTTTCAGTGAAGCCTGTACGCTGGGGGCCAGACAGTATAGCTTGACTTCCTTTTAATTTCTTTGGAAAGAAGTCCTAACCCGACGATGAGAAGACCCTCCATTGCCACCATGCTCAAGAGCTTCTGGTAACAACCCTTGACCCCCTAACCTCCAGCTAACATTTCTTCTGACCTCCTCTGGTTATTTTCCAGCGCCACCCCCTGCAACTTCAGAGAAGAAACTGACTCTAAACAGAGGTTGATCCCCAGTCCCTGCTCTGGTGGAACTGAAAGGTCTCCATGTGGAAGCCCCTGACCACCACCACCCAGTTCAGGTGAGGAGCCTGAGACCTTCCCCCCTTTTTTTTTCCTCTTTCTGAATCCTATTCCTTTTTTTCCTTTTTCTGAGTTCTTTATTTTTATTTATTTATTTTTTTTTCCTTTTTCAGCCACTGCTGAGCCCTTAGTATGGTGTTGATGCCTGTGCCCTGGACCTCCCACACAGCTGCTCATAGATCTTTCCTTCCTCTTGTTCTGAGGTGTCACCCTTGCATCACTCCTACTCAGTAGCTGCTACAATCCTCATCACAGTTGTCCTGGAGCTCAGTCTGCAGAGACACTTCTAAGAGAGGTGTTTGCCCACCTTACATCCTGTCTCCAACTCCACTCCTTGCCTCCAGCTGAGGGGTGCTCATGGAGTTTAAAATCCCTGATTTCTGTCATGTATCAAGCCCTGTTGACCTTTTTTTTCACATAAACCCATCAATATTTTATCTAGAAGAAACCACTGTACATTTCTAATATGTCATTCATATTCTCCTAGCTGTAATAAGAATGCAGATATGGTGCCTAAGTTTGAGGCAGAAGAATAGGATCTGGAGGCAGGGAATCTAAGACCAATTTCCTAGAACTAAATTGACTGACTTCCTAGAACTAAATTGAAAGGAAAATCCCAAATTTTCACACTTAAGTAACAAAAGGACCAGATGCCACTCACTTTGCAACCCCGCCACCCCTTCTGCACGGCAGATGGAAATATTAAAGTACCTCTGATTGGTTGCTTTCCACAACCAATCAGATGTTTGCATAGGAGTGTAACTTTGTAACTTCATGTTAGCCTCTGATGGTTGCTTTCTGCAACCAATCAGACTGATTGAGGGCTACCACTTCATTTGCATGGGGCGGACACCAGTGGCCAATGGGAAACCTCTAGGGGGCATTTCAACCCCAGAAGATTCTGTAACTGGGGCTCTTGAGCCACTGCTTGGGCCTGCTCCCACCTTGTAGAATGTACTTTCATTTTCAATAAATCTCTGCTTTTATTGCTTATTCCTTCCTTGTTTTGCTGTGCATTTTGTCCAATTCTTTGTTGAAAAGGCAAAGAAACAACAACTTGCAGTCAAGACTCTTTACCGGTAACATATTTTGGAGAGCCAACCAGGAAATAAGCCCAAAGTTTGGAATTTATTTTTCTCCTTTCCCCTTTTCTTCTCTGCTGCATACAGGGCAATCTTTCTTTTTCTCTCCCTCTTTTCCTTTCCAACTCAGGATGCTTGATGGACAGCACCTAAGCACAGAGGCAACTGCGAGTTGCTGGCCAGGGCCACTCTCTGTTGAAACAGAAAAGTTTCCATGTGGAAGTCCCCGACCACCACCCAATTCAGGTGGGGGACCTGAGTTCTTTCCCTTTTTTTTTTTTTTTACTTTTTCTGAAGTCTATTCCTTTTTCCCTTTTTCTGAGTTCATTGTTTTTTCCTTTTTCAGTGTTTCAACAGCTATTTCCTAATAGCTCCCTGGTAAGTGAGGGCAACTGGCCGGGGCCGCTATCCGGTGCTGTCTGAAGGCCAAGGAGTGAACAAGGATGACTTCCCTGCCCAAAAAATGAACAGACTATTTTCTACCCTTTCTGGTTATAGTCCCTGGTCCTTATGTGTGATGCAGCTGGCAGTGGCAGCTTGTCCAGGGCGAACTCACACATGTTTCAGGCAACCTGAACCTTCTTTTCTTATCCTAAATTCTTCCCTTCCTCTACTTGACTGGCAAAGGACAAAAAACCCACCTACCTATGCAAAAAAGATCATACAACTAGTTGTTTAAAGCGAGAGATGTTTAGGACAAGTCAGAAGGTCCAGGCATGTTGTAGGTGGTGCATGTGAGTCATGGGTTGGGGACAGTCATGAGAAAAGGCATTTATGCAGGAACTGATGAATGAGTTTATTGCTTCAATTTAGAGTTAAAGGGTTGCTTTAAGTGGGATAGAAAAGCCTTGAGGAAAGTTCATAGTACGTCATCAGTGGTGAAGGAAAACAATCCAAAGTGGTGCCAGCACCCATCGAAGGTCAGAGACATCTGATGGACTAAGTCAGGGTTAGGGCACCCTTGAGGACCCCAGTCAGGGCCCAGAATTTTTCCAGGGGGGATGACCCAGGTAAAATTTGGGTCACTTGATAAACCCTCCACTTTTCAAAGTCCTCTTCTCTTTTCCAGGCCACTATGGACAACTCTGAATCTATTCCACCTGATTCCTCGCTTGATGCATCCTCCGCCACCGGAAGCAATTTGACCCTGACAATCTAAAGAGAAAAAGTATATATATTTTTTCTGCAATACTATCTGGCCCCATTATGAACTGCCCAGCCAAGAACAATGGGCAGTCAACGGTAGCCTTCATTATGACACCATCCTGCAATTAGACCTATTTTGCAAGAGGCAGGGCAAATGGTCAGAAATCCCATATATACAGGCTTTCATGACCCTATACCAAAACCTAACAATCTGCAAAACTCCCAGAACCCACCCCCTAAAGGAAGGTTCTAAGGCAAAGCTAGATATTACAGATGACCCCATTTTACAAGGACCACCTGTCTCTCAGGGTGAACAACAACTGCCCCCATGTAGCCCCTTGCCAAGTGCTGCTGAGGCTAAACCCAGGAGCAAACACTGGGGACCCTACTAAGTTCCCCTCACACTTGCAGGGTAACATCTTATTCAACTCTCCCTCTATCTCTGCTACCCCTTGGGAAGTAGCAGGAACCAAGGGGCCCGTCCTGGTGCAGGCCCCCTTCTCTATAACTGATATACAACAATGTAAGGGAAAGCTATTCTGAGAATCCTAGGAAATGTCCAGATGGGTTCCAGACTTTGAACTGAGCCTTTGAACTCTCATGGAGAGATGTTCAATTCATTTTAGAACCTGTTGCATTCCCTCAGAAAAGGAACAAATCTTTGAGGCCACTCCCCCGCCTCCACCCAAGAAGTGGATGAATTATTCACTCTAAACCCTCAGGACAATCACTGGAGCCCAGATACAGTTCCCACTACTGATGCTAATTGGGACTATAGCACCCCCATGGGAATGAATGACCAGGCTAAATTTCTTGAGGCTCTCCTTGGAGGAATGAGAAAGGGAATAACTAAGCCAGTATATTATTATAAAGTAAGAGAGGTTACACAAAGCAAGAAGGAAAATCCAGCCATGTTTTATGGGAGGCTGGAGGAAGGCTTTAAGAAATATACTAATCTGGACCGGGCACAGTGGCTTATGCCTGTAATCTCAGCACTTTGGGAGGCTGAGGTGGACGGATCACGAGGTCAGGAGATCAAGAACATCCTGGCTAACACAGTGAAACCTCGTCTCTACTAAAAATACAAAAAATTAGCTGGGCATGGTGGCGGGCACCTGTAG